ACTAACCGGCCCGAAGGCTCGAGAAAAAGTGAATCCCATAAAGTGACTTAAAAATTCCTTAACTGGTATAGAACCAGAAAAATTACGACCAATTAAAATTAAAGAGGCGGAGAGTTTGAAATTTAAAAGAAAGAGATTGGCTAGTTAGCCCCCCTGAAATTAAAGGAAGAAAAAGAATGGCGTGAGTAGAGGGGTTGGTTGACTTTCCCCACAGGAAGTGCGATGACCGCAACGACCGTGAGAAAGGTCAACAAGAAAGTTAAAAATAAAAAATTGCTAAATTGGAAAAAGGAAAACGTTTAAAGAAAAATTAAAGGCTAGATAAATTAGATAATTAAATTGTCACATTACATTAAGTGTAAATGTGACAGTCACCATTTACTACACGGGGAGTCTTCGGCCTCTTGGATATGGGCCCAGCGCCCTACCGACCAGGCTATCCCGGCCTTTAAGTCTTGTTATTTTATTTTATTTTATAACCGTCGAACAGCCGACCCAATTTCATGGGTTTACGCCTACTAACGTTCAACTCCGTAGACTTGTAATTTTGAACCAATCCAGAAGACAAGGAAACTCCTGGATCAGTACCCCNTTTTTTTTTTTTTTTTTTTTTTTTTTTTTTTTTTTTTTTTTTTTTTTAAGTCTTGTTAGAAAAATTTGTACATCAGTTTGATTGGTGTACATCGGGCTTGACCTTAAAGAGGCCAGAAACTTTCAGTGACCTTAATTGCCATCGCCAAAACTAGACAAGTATGAAATTTGCTGGAAAAAAAAGCCTGAAGTGTAACAATAATTTACAGGTTTATGGTTATTGATTCCTTCTGAAGTTTGGACAATGACAAAACTGGAAGAAAATTATATCGCAATATTTGAGAGAAAGAAATTGCGGAGTATACTTGGTGATGTAAATGAAAGCAATAACTGGAGGAGATTTAACTTTGAACTGTACAAGATTTATAAACAACCTGATATTATTAAATACATAAAAATGATTCGAATGAGTGATGACAACACAATAAAAAAGATACTGCTTTTTAGACTCATTGAAAAAAGAAAGCGGGGAAGGCCACGGTTGAGATGGGCTGACTCATTGGAGTCTAATTTTCTTGCAATTAACGAAAAGAATTGGAGATCAAAGATAAATCGGAAGTCGTCACGGAGAAATCTTCAGAGGAAGGCATTGGCTCACTTTACTTTAGTCCGTATCTTGAATTTATTGAGGAGGAGGGATAAAATTATGACATCTAGGTTTTTTCTATCTAGGCATGTGATGTAATGTTTCTGATGTACTTTTTTACTCTGAATCGAATAAATGACACCCAAATTGATATATTTAATTGTTAATAAGTTTGTTAAATTTTAAATAAAAAAGAGTTCAAATTCATACATATTTATAAGTCCGAAATTACTATCGAGACAAGCGAGCTGTTTCCAATGAATTTTTTAAGCAATCGATAGAAACATTTCAGTCACTTAACAGTTTAAAAGTTATCTACTTTATACTGTTAAGTGAACTGAAATGTTCTTATCGAATAGCTCAAAAAATATATTGAGTATATACCTCACTTGTCTAGATAGCAATGTCAGACGCATAAATATATGTGTGATTCAGAACTTAACTTTTTTTTATTCAAACTTAAATAACTTCTTAATTACTTACCCTTCACTAGTTGGCACACATTACATAGGTTTACCATTGCTGCAAATTNTAAACAACCTGATATTATTAAATACATAAAAATGAATAGAATGAATTGGATCACCCACGTGATTCGAATGAGTGCTGACAACACAATAAAAAAGATACTGCTTTTCAGACCCACTGGAAAAAGAAAGCGGGGAAGGCCACGGTTGAGATGGGCTGACTCAGTGGAATCTGATTTTCTCGCAATTAATGAAAAGAATTGAAGATCAAGGATAAATCGGAAGTCGTCATGGAGAAATCTTCAGAGGAAGGCATTGGCTCACTTTACTTTAGTCCGTATCTTGAATTTATTGAGGAGAAGGGATAAAATTATGACATCTAGGTTTTTTCTATCTAGGCATGTGATGTAATGTTTCTGATGTACTTTTTTACTCTGAATCGAATAAATGACACCCAAATTGATATATCTAATTGTTAATAAGTTTGTTAAATTTTAAATAAAAAAGAGTTCAAATTCATACATATTTATAAATCGGAAATTACTATCGAGACAAGCGAGCTGTTTCCAATGAATTTTTTAAGCAATCGATAGAAACATTTCAGTCACTTAACAGTTTAAAAGTTATCTACTTTATACTGTTAAGTGAACTGAAATGTTCTTATCGAATAGCTGAAAAAATATATTGAGTATATACCTTACTTGTCTAGATAGCAATGTCAGGCGCATAAATATGTGTGATTCAGAACTTAACTTTTTTTTTATTTAAACTTAAATAACTTCTTAATTACTTACCCTTCACTAGTTGGCACACATTACATAGGTTTACCATTGCTGCAAATTGCAGGTATCAAAAGATTCCTTTCGCTGTTAATTTCCTTTACCCAAAAATAATTTTATTCATAAAACTTTGCAGTTATTTAGATTAATAACAGTAGATATTAACAGTTACGATAGCAATAACAGTACAATAATAGATACCTACAGTAGCCGTAAGAGAAAAATACTTTCTCTCTTTCCTCTCTCGGCTTCTGTGGTTTTCTAATTTTATTTCTTAACATTATTTTTCCATTTTTTGTTGGCAACTTTAATTTTATATTTCAAATGACTTTGGTTTCTTCTCCTTTACATCTAGCAAGTTTTGAAAAGGAGAGCCTGTTTTTCAGCACGTGAAACTTGTCAACTGTTTTTTCCTTTTTATAAATTTTTGCAGCGAATAATCTTATATCTTACCGTTTCAGTTTCATTTATTTAATATTTTACACCACGCATAAACTATGTATTTTTACTTAACAAAATTAGAAATAAGGAATTGTTTAATTAATTCCATAACAAAAATAATTATAACATGTAAATTTAAATTAAATAAATTGTGATTTTTCAAAAACTATTCAACCGACTTATTTCAAATTTTGTCATGTAAAAATGAATATACTGAATTACCTGTGCATTTTAAAAAATAAGGTAACTAGAAAAATTTAATATAAATTTGCATTAATATTATGTAAACATATACTAAATGACCTTTCACATAACAAAGTGGGGTCCATTATGCTTCCCCTCCTCAATTTCTTTTAAAAATTAACAGTCCCTATTTACTCCAAGAAATATCATCACTTATAATAAAGTGGAATAGACAAATAACAAAATAAAATTTTTTCCCCCTCATTACGGGTGAAGTTAGGTATTAACCATAGAGTTTAATTGTAATAGAACACGCACATGAAGATAATTTTTGCCTTCATAATGAAACCACGTGACTGTAGTGTGAATAATGAGAGAGTATTTTCAAAATCCGTTACTCCTTGTTACTTCAACGGAAGAAAATCGATGTTGGAATTTCGAAGACAAATATTTTAAAATACGGTAATTAATTGTGTCGCATTTGGTGGCACAGAAAACTTTGCAAAATGACGACCTTATATATTTCCCAGGTAAGTTAATTTATCACTTTTTGTAAGTGCAACTGTTTTATTTATTGTATAAATAAACTTTCCAATTTTCCTCTTTTCCCTAAAACATGATATTAATCCATTTTAAAATTCAAATTTAATCTATCTTGAGGTAAATATAAACGAATAAGAACACAATTTAATTAAAGTAATGATTATTTAGAATTTATAGATATAATAGAATAATTTTTTCTCTCTTCATTTTAGAGCTAAATTGTAGTAGGCGATATATTGGCGACATTCTAGTTTCTTTCCGCCTTTATTTATGTTGCATATTTCTAGCTAAGTCTTAAGTTTTAAAGAGAAAAAAATTATATATATTTCCATAATTTCAGTAGCTTGTTTTAGGTCAGTTTTGTTCATAACATACATTTACTCAGGCAAAATAGTGGCTTGAAAAGATTAATTTTAAACGTTTCGATAAATAATTATTTCTATAATAAGACCATGTGGTCTCTTTTAATTGAAATAGTCCGGTCTTCTTTAAATGCGATAATACTATCAGAAGTATTAAAACCTTATCATAGGTGTAAAGTTGAAATAAATTCACAAAGTTTAAAATAGAGAAGCATTTTTATTATTATTATTTTTTAAGTGAAGCAGAATTTTTTTCTCAATTTTTATGTTATTCTTTGACTTCTTATAATGCTCTAAATCTTTTCTTGCAAATACTTTGAAAAAATCCAAATACCTGGAAAAATATTCATAATTTTACATAATGTTATTAATATCGTTTGATATGTTGAACTAAAAAAAAAAAAAAATTAAATCGCTTTTCTTTCAACTAAAAAACTCTTCAATATAAATTCTTAAATGCGACACACACTTTATCTGCCAAATATACCTACGAGATACAATAAAAACTCACAGCTAAGCGAATGATTCTTTAATTCACAAACAAATACAATGAACAAATGAAAGAAAATTTATAATGAAGCTCTGTTTAACAGTGACCGGTTGTAATCATAGGTAATAGTATAGGGTGAAACATTGCAGAGTAAATTTTTGTTCCCCAACAAGACATATTTTTTGATTCCGTAAGTAAGTGGAATGATGGATTCGGGTTCATTACACATATGGGCTTCATCTAGGATGCAGCAAGCAATATTAAACTCTTTAACCAACTTCATAACGGAACAGTCATCATTTTCAAGTCCCAACAACAGTACTAAAATCACATCACTTGTGGCGAGTACGTGATTCCTAGCCATTCTTTCAACTTTCGCCTCATCAGTCTCTGTATTCCTAAATATTGACTTGTTTTTATCCGTTAATTTCGCCAAGGAATACTTTCTTAAATCAGAGATTCTGTCCGTGTTAATATACACTGGGTTATGCTGTTTAAGACACATAGCGATGTCTGACAATGAGTTTTCAGACTTGGAGCAAATAATTACTTTGGCATCCGGCTGCTTCTCCTGGAGTTTTTTAATCAGATAAGACACGGCTGTCATCCTCTCCCAGGTCAGTGAAAACTCCGCATGGACCATTGCTAGCAACGGAACTTGATCAGTGACGCGTTTACACACCTGGTCCATGACACTAACATAATCCATGCCTTCTTTAGGAATGGAAGCGCTAAACTTGTTTGGTGAAGTAATAGGAGAGAGTACAGCGTCACTCAAAGTTGACTTGGACAAATTCATTAAAGCATCATTCTGCTGAAGGATCTTCCTGACATTTAACAAATGCTGGAACGAAATCAGTTCTCTGTCGTTTATATCGTCTACTTTGAACGCGGTGTAGATGGTTATTTTGAATTTGTAGATACCTGTATTTTCTGTAACGCCTAGTGCTTTATAAGCTTCATGTTCGCCGTCATGGGTTGCTGCGAATTGACGGTTCATCGATTTCGTGACGTAGCCCAACATCTTTATAGCAGAGTTTCCCAGGGACTTGAAAGTAACGAGAACTATGCAGCTTTCTTTCGGCAGGGTTTCAATGTGTGTAGATGGCACAAAACATTCAATGAGATACTTGTTAAATTCGTTTTTTTGTTCATAATCGCTAATCTTTCCCTGGAATACACATCTTTGATTATTTTTCCACGCTTCATAAAGTTTAAACCAAGATTCGAACAACAGAAGTTTAAAATAAGTGTTATAATACTCGCGCTCATCACTGTACGTATTGCGTACTTGAGAGAGTTCAACTGATTTGGGCAGTATGGGTGGTAGATTAAGTTCTGGCTTAAGTTGCCTTTCAAATTCTGATAGCCAATCATAAGACCACGAGATCATAATCAAATAAACAAATTGACTTTGAACGTAGGTCTTGCCAATATCTTCCTTCACAGATTCTGGTACCAAACAAGCAAAATTCCTTTGATTTAATCGATAACTGCCAGTTGTATTAGCGTCACGAGAAGCGGGATTCGACACCAAGTCGACTGGTGCAGGCGATTGCACGGCTGGGGAAGATCGGGATGGGTAATGCACGAGTGTTGGACTGTTACTGGAGTAAATAGGCGACGCAGCTGCTGCAATTTGAGGTGATATTATAGCCCGACTCAGTAAAAAGGGTGTCGGAAGAAGGGGCGCCGGAAGAAGAGGTGTCGGAAGAAGGGGTGCCGGAAGAAGAGGTGTCGGAAGAAGGGGTGTCGGAAGAAAGGGAATCCTTGCATTTTCTCGCACATTTTTTCCAAGAGACGGTATAGTTTGTATAGAAATATTATTAAAAGCATTATAATTGGGATCGAACCTACATATATCACTTTGCATTGGAATGGGTTGATTTGGGTCATTAAGAGGGAAACGATTTAATGGAGTTTTTTGATGAGGACGGCTTGATGTAGAGGGATTGTTTGAGCCTATGTCATTATATGACGGTGAAGGCATACATTCGTAAGGACTGGAACTACCAATTAAGTTGCTTCTTGAATCAGATAAATATTCTGAGCTACGCTTCTCACTAAGTACTGGTATAGGATTACCATAAAAAGAATTTGGATTCGCAGAAATTTTCACATTAGATGGTATGTTTGAAAGACTAGTATTTGAGTTTCTTAACATGAGGTTGTTTTGAACAGAACTAGAACTTCTAGGATCATTTTCCGAACTAAACCTTCTAGTAACAACTTCTATAGGTCTACCAATAATTGTATCATTCATTGTATGAGGTATTGGGTCCATCACAGAACGCTTATTTAACTCTCCCAGTGAACTATTATTTGGAACAGCTAGTTGCGCTTTCAATCTCGACTCTTTATCACTATTAGATGACTTTCTATTTAAGTAATCTTTGAAATCTATTTTTTTCTTTCTTATCTCCTCGGAATGTCTCCCAACATCTGTTCTATTATGTGTGGCATGCTGCCTGTTTATCTGAATTTGATTGGTTTTAATTCCTGCTATTGCATCTTTAAATAAGTATCCTGGATTTCTTATTCTCTCAGTTGTTAATTGCGAAGGCTTTCCAGAAGAAGAAGCACCATGCCTTGGCACTTTATGGGGTATTTCAACGCAGCTTTTGTCGGGTATTTCGGCACTATTTTTACGATTTTTTCTGGGATCAGACGGAAACGAATTATTAGTGGCATCAATCTGACTTGAGGGAGACAATGAAGATTCACAATTATCAAAATCAGGATAACTTCGTTTCCTCAACGTATTTTCATTTAGAGACTGTGCTTCATAATTTGTTATTGATACTCTTTTGGGCAAATTTGGATTCTCATTGGCAAATACAGAAGTTTGAGGTTGTCGTAGTAAAGAATAATTCTTTTCGCCACAACTAACTGAGGTTTGAGGCTCTATATCCATATTAATTTGATTCTTGTTGATGTTAGCAGTTAAGGGACTGATTGCATCTGGTATTGGTGGAGTTGTGGTTGGTAAAGGAGGAAGATTGACTGGGTCTGGTAAAGGAGGAAGATTGACTGTGTCTGGTAAAGGAGGAAGATTGACTGGGTCTGGTAAAGGGGGGTGAATGGTTGTGCCTAGTAATGGGGGAAAAATAGCTGCGGTTGTAAGAGTGAAAGGAAATGTTTGAAGTTGTTCTGTAACTGAAAGGTTATTTTTTTGATTGAAAGTATTTGATGTTCCTTCAAGCTGAATAGTTTTATTTCTTGCATCTAAGTCATTTTTGCTTGGTAAAGATTGAATTTTTGATTTTATCGAACCATTGTCAAAGTTTTTTGACTGTAGAAATTCCATTGTAGGTTTCAGGCTATTTAGGAGCTTATCAATGTCATTTTCAATTATAGTATGAGGTTGCGTTGGACACTCTGGTACAATGTTTGATTCAATTGAAGGAGGTGAGGAACGAGGACTATCATTTAAGTCTTTTAGGAAGACATCTCGAGCGTATTGACGATTATTAAAAACAGATGGTGCACTTGAAACACAAGGCATTGTTTTAAGTGGAGGTGATATGCAACGAATTGGGGCAAAAGAAGGAGGTGGAATAACTGAATTATTCAACTCCTGACTGTGTACCACAGGATTTAAGTTCAGTATACTTTTGCACGGAGAGTTATACTGTCGTATAGATGTTGTGATGGAGTCTTCAAAACTACCATCTTCTGAAACTTTATTTTTAAAATTTTCCAGCACGTTCTGTACAGTGGTTAAAATTTGAGAACAGTTGTAAATGTCAACTAACTGAATCTTATCAAAATCAAGAGTCTTTAAATTATTAAAACCAACAAAATTTCCCTCAAATGAATTAAAAGTGTCCTCGGAAATTATTTCATCATTATGAGGTGACATACTAGGTTCGGCCAGTGAAAGCTTCATAAGTTCTAGCTCTTCAGGACTTATTTGATAAGGAGCTTCTACATCTGCTGACACAGGTGATGATGGAGCAGTATCGCACAATTCTTCTTTTTGAACACCATCACCGGGGTTATCTACGATAACATCTTCCACACTCTCAGTAATATTGTTGAAAACATGCAATAAATCCTCCTCCTCCTTTTCAACGATGCATTCACCAACAATAATAATATCTTCAGCTGTGTCTACTGGTTCAAAATTTAACGTCTTGAATTTCTTTACAGGTACAAAGGCACCTATAGTTTCAATGTCATCATCTTCCACAACCTCTGAAGAAGTTTCGTTTGACACATCATTAAGAGGTTCAACTTTTATTTTTACAGGTGGGTCATCTGATGGTTTTTGAGGATCCAACAGTCCAAAAGAAGCTATTAAAGCATTGGATTGTCTTTTAAATGGCACAGAAGAACGTGGAATGTGTACTTCTTCTTGTTTTATCTCGTTTGTTTTTGGTGGATTCGATACCAGATTGGGTTGATCCTCACTACATTGAGCAGAATTTAATGAAGTAGATTCATCGGTTTGATTCATTGCCTCTTGTTCTGAAGTATTTGTAGACTTTTTGGGTCTTTTCCTTTTTTTGTACGTCCACGGGTTGCTTCGCTTAGGCATCTGTAATATAATACAGGAAAAGCATTAACGCTTGAACAATTTAATAGAATAAAACATTAAACATACATGTAGAAAATTACAGTAATTGTTTATAGCAACGGTTCCCAGAAGGTGCTCTGCAGAACTTCAGGGTGTCACAGAAGGAGTACAAGGGATCCGAAAAATATTTTTTTTTTGTAACCAGTAATGATTATATTTATATCCAGTCTGTAATCCATAGTTTATTTAATACTTTGTTTATGTTAAATTATTAATGTAAAAAGCCAATGAAATTAAGGTAGCAAAATTTAAAAAAATCTTTTTAATACTGAAAAGAAATATATTGGGTGTTACATACACATTACTGCTAATGTTTTACATAAACATTATACACTAAATAAATCCTAAATTGAGAAACACAAAGGATTATTAAATTAATTCTTTCTGGAAATGGAAGAAGTTTTCTAATAATTAGAATGGAAGAAGTTCTCTAAAAATTACAAAAAAGATAGGTTAGGGAATGATTTTGACTAACCAATTTCTCGCACTTATCGAAAAGACTATCTTCATAAATGTAAAGAGTATTCTAATTTAAGAAAAAAAAAATTTAAAGGTTCAACAGGGATACTTTTCTCACTTGAGTATGAGTTGCATCCATTTATTGAATAGTTTAACTTTATGACCTCAAATAATGCATTCTTATATTCATTGCATAGACTGAAACATCAAATCTCCTTCATTCAAAATAATATTTGAGAAACATGTAGGCAGGCAAGGTGTGTTTACTTTAACACAACTCTGTGATTAAAGATCACATTTACACTTATTGCCATAAAAATTGGCATATCTGGGACCACTTGGCACGACAAGTTTGACAGCTTCTGAATTGAGTAGTTTTAGCGGAGTTTTCAGCAACTCTATAACTAGATGCCACAAGATGTATTAAAGTATTTGTATGCCTCAATGCCTGACAGTATCACATCCTGCATTCAGTACTAAAACCACCATTTATTTATATTTTTTCCTTCAATAAATGATTATTTTCTTTTAATTTTTTAATTCTTACTTATATCAACGTTGTACTTACGTATGAAAAATTTCATTTCATATCAACAACTCTTTTGTAGATGCGTTAATTATGGCAATGAGCATCATTTGTAGTAAAGCGCATATACAACTACTATTGGACGAATTAGTTCCCACAGGAAGAAATCCAGAGGTGTTTTGAAGATGGAGATGGCCAAACGGACCATAACTCTAGATCAGGGGTTTCCAACTTACATGAGGCCGGGGCCACAATTAAAAACACAAATCAAATGGCGGGCCGCACCTTTATCAAAATTTTTTGTAGGACTTTTTTATGCCTGAAGGAACATTAAATATTACTGTAAGAGTTTTATCAAGTTGTACAAAACAAAAGTATTGAATTACAAATTAAAATAAGAAGTAGATTTTTTAAAATATTTAATTGCTATAAATAAAATTTTTAAAAATATTAAGTAAATAATAAAAATTTGGGCTACAATAACTTTCAAGTGAGCACCTATGTATTAAACAATTAATGTGCAACAGATATCAACTAATTGTTAAGGTAATTAAACTTACATAGTAGCACACGAAATATTCAATGAGAAAATTGAGGTTTGTCTGCTGCAACCACCAGAGAATAGATATTTACGATTTAAATTTACAAATGTGTGTTTAAATATTTTCGTCCAAAATGAGTGGTTTCAAAAAGTTACATCGGAGAATTTCATCGAGAAAATTTCTGATACGCACATGCTAAATTACATTCACAAAATGCGAAAAAAATAAAATTAATAAGAGCAACATACACGATTATTTTTGTATTTGAATAAATATTTTCTTAGATGCAAAACCTGAAAAATAAATTTCTTTGCACCTGGTATGTTAAATTTCACAAACACGAAGAAATTAGGTTTTTATTAACGAGAAAAGTATTTTAAACCCATATAGATTTTTTACGAAAATTTTCCACAAAAAAATGACAACTAATATATTTTAGTTCGCGGACCACAAAAAAAGGCTTCGTGGGCCGGATGCGGCCCCCGGGCCGACAGTTGGAAACCCCTACTCTAGATGCTTTGTTACATAAAAATATAATGGGGGATTTTACTAGAACGTACACTGGATTTACATTTGAATGTAAAAAGAGGAGTTGGAAAGGGAAGCTAAACTGTAAAAAGGAAAGCTAAGCCTTTTAAGATAAATTGGGCAAATTCCAATTTATTTTAAATAAACAAAAAAATAATAAAATTGCCTGTTAAACATAAAATTACTAAAACAAGAATACTTATTAGCTGATTTAATAATCTGTACTCTTGGAGGTCACTGAAGAATCAAGTGTTTTGGTAATAAAAAAAAATTGCGCCAGTAAGGATATCATACCCAATCGCGTAAATTTGTTCCTCGCTGAGTTTTATACATCTTTAAGACTCTAATGAGAAATAATTAAATGTTACATTATTATGCTCTTATTTTTATAACACAACTTTTTTTAACAATCAATGATGCAATAAATCTCAAATTAAGATTTTACATAAATATATATATATATATATATATATATATATATACAGTCGAACCTCGCTAACTCGAACCTCGATTTCACGAATTTTTCGATATCTCGAAGAAAAAAAAATTCCCTTCAAATTTCCTATACACTCAATGTTAAAAAAAACTCGATTTCAAGAATTTTTTTTTCTAATCTCTCAATAACTTGAATTTTTCTCTCTCCATAAATAGTGTAGATTTTTTTTTCTGAAAATAAAAAAATATTCCAAAAAAAAATACAATTTTAAGAATAGAAAACCAATTCTCATAATGATAAACTTTAAAAAAAAATGGACATAAGGACGTCAGTGGCATGGAATGATGTGTCTCTCTCTACGATAATGAATGTATTCAAGAAGGCTGGATTCCTTAAAGATCATGAAAGTAGTCAAACAATCAATATCGTTAATTCTGCTGAAAACTATACCGAAAATGATTGGGACAGATTGACCGGACTCATGAAACTTGATGACTTGGAATTTCATAACTTTGTAAACGTAGATGACGCAGTAACAGTGTGTGGTCAGTGGCATGACAATGATATCATCGCTCAAACAAAAGCTTCTTGTGAACTATCAGAAGAAGAGGAAATCGAAGATTTACCACCCAATGTTACTAACAAACAAGCACTTTCTGAGAGGCAACCAAATATGTCAGAGGAGACATTTAGCGCTATAGTCCACTTAGAAAGTGCTACAGACAAACTTTCTTACACATCTCTAAAGCAAACAACAATTGAATCTTTTTTTTAAATGAAAGTGTAAAAAGTGTTTTTAGAGTACATATGGAATAGTAAATAANTATATAAACACACAGGGTAACAGCTACAATTTAGATTTTCAAATCCATGACTTTTCATGCCTAATTCCAAGAATTTTTCACGACTTAACGAAGTTACTATTTTCTCTGACAAAAACACAACAATAATTTAAAAAAGCATTACAATAACATTAATTGAAATGATATGTACAACCAAAACTGTTATACTCTGCATCTTTATATTTACAGATTTTAAATTCAAAAAACATAGTAAAGAAAGAGTTAAAGCAATAAAATAGCTGAAAAAAATACAAAAGCAAATAAAAAAAATTTTCTGCAGTATTATATTCTGAAGATATTTTTTTGTTTCATCGGAAAGGAAAGAAATGCTCCTAACTTTTCAGTTCTCATTTTGGAATAAATAAAAGTCGCCAATGACTTGGCTTGCTTCGGCTAGAACTTTAAATTGACGAAATAAAAAAAATAAATTATAAAAAAAATTCTGAAATAACAGGAAGTTTGATTCGCTCTAGAAATGATGTTTTTCTTTCATTTTTTTAAAAAACACTATAATTTTTAAAGAACATGATAAAAACATTTTAAATTTTAATAAAATATGACTGTGAGTGGGGATTTTGCTACAAATTCAGATATTCAGGCCATCATGAAATGGGGGGGGGGGGTAAATTCCATTTTAAAATTAGATTTTTCGGCGGCCGAAATCCATGACTTTCCATGATTTTTTTTTTAAAAAAAAAGTGGTCAGAAAAATGACATTTAATGGCAAATTTTGCTCAATACTGAAATTCATGACTTTCTAGGTGTGCGGATACCCTGTATATATATAAGATCGTTGTCGAGTGGAAGGATAAAAACAGGTCTTAAGGACAGGTCGGCGTTACAAAACGTCAGCTTGAAGTGAGCTCTAAGCCCTGATTCGTCAATTTGTGAGCTAGACAGCATACGTCATCAACCGCTCAGCTTGGTGACGGTTGAGCTTGCTGCTTGTCAGCTTGGACGACTACTGACGTCCGAATCAACTGCTGTTGGATTGCAATGTAGTAACAATCCAACGACAGAAGCAATGGCGGACAACATCCAACAGAGCATTGAAATCAGCCAAGATTTTGATTTTAACATTAAACGAAGCTTCTTTTTCCTCTTCTTCTTCATTTAGCTAAGCTATAATGTGTTTTTTCTTGGACAAAGTCATTATTTGTTCTCTAAATCACTGGTCGACAATAATAAAATCCACACAAATTCAAAATAAATATTTGTTTACGTTAATAACGCATGCGCAATACGAGATAATGTCTGCTTTGGATCAACTTCTCACGCTGAGCTAACTAGGGCCTGGTTTCTTAGGACAGGTTGGCGTCAGCGGTAAGTCAACTTCCCGCTGACACCCAGATAAGGCGCTTGTCTAAAGAAACCAGGCCTTAAGGCAGGGAAGGAGGGTACAATTTATTTATTAACTATTAGACAGAGAACGTTTATTAAAGTGTACACGACATCGTTGTGCTCCTCAATAAAAAATAAAAAAAGCAAGGAAAAATCTTGCAAAGTAAATCCGCAAAATGTCTCATTTTAAGGAATAAGGGAAATCTTGTAGTTGGTTTATTAAATAGGTCACGCGATTCCCCACAAAGAGCAAAGGGGAAAATGTGTTACTTTTAATTAATGCATAC